AGAGACACAGGGTGAGAGAGGCAGGGAGAGAGACACGGGGTGAGAGGAAGGGTAGGGCAATGAGAGGAGTTGAGGGGAGTGCTGCAGTGTCGGAGGGTCGGCGCTGACGGAGTTCTGTGTGTAACGCAGATTTGTCCTCTCCGTTTGCAGGCCTGTGGCGTTGTCGGCCGGAGCTGAAGAAACATGGCAGAGGAGCCGAAAGACGACCAACCGGTCGCGAAGTTCGACCTGGAGAAGGAAACGGAGCTGCGGTTTGAGGTGGAAGCCAACGAGACGGTGCAGCTAGAGCTTTTGTCGGGCATGGCTGAGATCTTCGCCACCGAGCTGACCCGCAACAAGAGGTTCACTTTCGACGGAGGCTCCAAGGTGGCGGTGTTCACCTGGCACGGCTGCTCGGTGCAGCTGCAAGGCCGCACGGAGGTGGCGTACGTGTCCCGTGAGACCCCCATGCTGCTGTACCTGAACTGCCACGCCGCCCTGGAGCAGATGAGGCAGCAGGCCGAGCAGGAGGACGAGCGCGGGCCCCGCGTCATGGTCGTGGGCCCCACCGACGTGGGCAAGACCACAGTCTGCCGCCTGCTGCTGAACTACGGCGTGCGGCTGGGCCGCCGCCCCACCTTCGTGGACCTGGATGTGGGCCAGGGCTCCATCTCCATCCCCGGCACCATGGGGGCACTGTACATCGAGAGGCCGGCCGACGTGGAGGAGGGATTCTCGGTACAGGCACCGCTGGTTTATCACTTCGGCTCTACCACCCCGGGGACCAACATCAAGCTCTACAACAAGGTGAGGCTCGCGAGGCCTCGGCCGGGTCCCTGAGCTTCCAGCCGGGGAGCGGGCATAAGCTGCTGACTGTTTTCATCTTGCGCCAATCATTGCCAACGCAAGCGCGGCAGTTTTCTGCTCAGTGGTAAAAGGGGGTGCCAGTGCATTGACGAGCCAAAATGAATTGGCCCAAGGTGGTGAACGCGCGAGAGGCTTTCTGTGCCAGCCAGGTGTAAGGGTAGAGGGGTAGGCCTGGCAGGGTTGCCATTCGGAGGGGCTGAATGGTCTGCTTCCACACTGTAGGGCTCCTACTTTCTTAAACAAAAAGGCTTAGCGGCTTGTTTCGGAGTTACCCGGTTAGCCAATCAGTACCAACCAGTCAGCATCCTTTCCTCCTGTAGTGTACATTTGTCACGAGAGTCTGAAATTTTGTTTTCTTAAATATGTTCTGACCCGTGCAGGGGGAAAAGTTTTGGCAACAGGGCTCTCTCTTTTCCAGCCTAGCACAGAGCGTAGGAAATGGGACCGATAGGAGGCCAGTTGGCCCCTCAAGCCCTCTCTGCCATTCAGCAAGGCCACGGCCGTTCTACCCCAGGTCTGTACTCCTCTTTCGCACCAGCTCAGCTCAGATTGGGATATTCCAAAAGGTGTTTCCTACCTCCACTTTGAATACTTGCGTTGACCTATCCTCCTCAACTCTCTGGGGTAGAGAATTAGACATCCACCGCTACCCCCCTCCCCAACCCCACGAAAAATAAATTTCTTTGCATCTCAGTTTTAACCAAGTGACCCTGTATTCTAGGATAACAGAAGAAAGGTCTAGGCCCGAAATGTCAGCCTTCCTGCTCCTCTGATGCTGCTTGGCCTGCTGTGTTCATCCAGCTCTACACCTTGTTATCTCAGATTCTCCGGCATCAGCAGTTCCTACTATCCCTGTATTCTAGGACTGTCTTAACTCTTCCCCCACCCTACACCCCTCCAACCAGTAGAAACATCTTCCCAACATCTATTCTGTTAAGCCCTCCTTATATGTTTCAATGAGATCACCCTGCATTCTTCTCCATTCTAATGAGTCGAGGCCTTAACTTCTTTAGCCATCTGGTACCAGTAATTTTTCTTTTTGTAAATGCAGGAGCAAAGCAGTACACAGTGCTCCAGGTGTGGCCTCACCAGCATCCTTTAACAGTTGTCACAAGACCTATGTTTTTAAATGCCAGCACCTTCGGCAGCGACAGCCGAAATTACTTGGTGTATTTGCATGCTGACCTTTCATGTTTCACGCCGAGAGCACCCAGATTCCTCTGTGCTGCACTTTTTTTGGAGTCTGCCTATAAATATAAAAGCCTGCCTTTTGATTCTTCCTGCCAAAGTGCGTGTCCTGTCAATTTCCAACGTTAAACTCCATCTGCCAAATTTATGCCCACTCAATCGATGTATACCCCCTTGCATATCCATATTGTCCTAATCTCAACTTACCCTTCCACCTATTTAGATATTTCTAACTAACTTGTGTGGGCAGGTCATCTGGCACACATCTGACTTGAAGCCAGGACTCCTGGCCCATAGCTATGGATACTACAACTAGATCACAATAGCCCTCTATTTACTAACTTTTTTAAAATCAGCAAATGTGAATACATTAAGAACGTTCTCCCCATCCTTCAAGTCATTAATATGGATAGTGAATAATTGAGGTCTTAGGGTTGGTCCAACTCGTCCATGCCGACCAGATATCCTAAATGAGTCTAGTCCCATTCGCCAACACTTTGTCCATATCCCTCTCATGGACCCATCCAGCTGCCTTTTAAACGTTGTAATTGTACCGGCCTCCTCCACTTTCTCCGGCGGCACGTTCCAGAGATGCACCACCCTCTGCGTGAAAAAGTTGCCCCTCAGATCCCTTTTAAATCTTTCCCCTCTCACATTACAAATATTCCCCTTCATTTTGGAATCCTCTACCCCGGGGAAAAGATCTTGGCTATTCACCCTATCCATGCCCCTCATGATTTTATAAACCTCTTTAAAGGTCACCCCTCAGTCTCTGACGCTCCAGGGAGAATAGTCCCAGTCTATTCAGCCTTTCCCTATAGCTCAAACCCTCCAACCCTGGTAACATCCTTGTAAATCTTTCCTGAACCCTTTCAGGTTTCACAATATCTTTGCTATAGCAGGGAGACCAGAATTGAATGCAGTATTCCAAAAGTGGCCTAACCAATGTCCTGTACAGTGTCAACATGACCCTCCCAACTCCTATACTCAATGCACTGACCTGTGAAGGCCAGCGTACCAAACACCTCCTTCACTGTCCTGTCTACCTGCAACTCCACTTCCAAGGAGCTATGAACCTGCACCCCAAGGCCTCTTTGTTCAGCAACACTCCCCTGGACCTTGCCATTAAGTGTATAAATCCAGCCCTATTTGTCTTAACCAAAATGCAACACTTTATCTTTATCTAAGTTACACTCCATTTGCCACTCCTTGGCCCATTGGCCCATCTGATCAAGGTCCTGCTGTACTTGGAGGTAACCTTCTCTGTCCACCATTCTACAAATTTTGGTGCCATCTGCAGATTTACTAACCATACCTTCTGTATTCCCATCAGATTCATTTTATATAAATGACAAAAAGCAGTGGACCCAGCACCGATCCTTGTGGCACACCACTGGTCACAGGCCTCCAGTCCAAAAAGCGACCTTCCACCACCACCCTCTGCCTTCTACCTTCGAGTCAATTTTGTATCCAAATGGTTAGCTCTCCCTGGATTCCATGTGATCTAATTTTGCCAACCAGTCTACCATGCGGAACCTTGTCAAACGCCTTACTGAAGTCCAGATAGACACCGTCCACCACTATGCCTTCATCAATCATCTTTCCAACCTTAAAATGACCCCTTAATCCCAACTTTGTCTTCTGTGTGTTAACCAATTTTCAGTCTGTGCCAATACATTATCCCCAATACCATGAACCTCTGTCTTGTGCAATAGTCTTTTATGTAGAAGCTTATCGAATGCCTTCAGGAAATCCAAATATATTACATCTGCTGGGTCTACTTTATCTGCTCTGCTTGTTATACCTTCAAAGTACTCTTGCAAACTTATTAGAAGGCCAGGCAGCATCAGAGGAGCAGGAAAATTTCGGGTCAGGATCCTTCTTCAGAAATGGGGAGGGCAAAGGGAGCTCCGAAATAAATAGAGAGCAGAGGGGTGGGGCTGGGGTGGGTAGGTGGGATGGTGGTAGGTGAGTGCAAGCAGGTAGTGGTGGGGATTGGTCAGTGAGGTGGGAGGGGCGGATAGGTGGGAGAGAAGATGGACAGGTTGTGTCAGGTCAAGGAGGTGGGGATGAGAGGGAGGGTTGGTGGTGGGATGAGGTTGGGGGTGGGGAGATTTTGAAACTAGTAAAGTCCACATTGAGACCATTGGGCTGTAGGCTCCCAAGGTGGAATATGAGGTGCTGCTCCTCCAGTTTCCGATGGCATCATTGTGACACTGGAGGAGGCCCAGGTTGGACATGTCGTCCAGGGAGTGGGAGGGGGAGTTAAAATGGTTGGCGGGGTGTTGTCGTTTGTCGTGAACAGAGTGTAGGTGCTCTACAAAATGGTCTCCAAGCCTAAGCTTGGTTTCAGTGATGTAGAGGAGGCCACATCGGGAGCAGCGGATGCAATAGACCACATTGATGGATGTGCGGGTGAACCCCTGTCTGATATGGAAGGTTTGTCTTGGGCCTTAATGGAGGTGAGGGGGGAGGTGTAGGTACAGGTGTATCACTTCCTGCGGTTGCAGGGAAAGGTGCCGGGTGTGGTGGAGTTAGTGGGGAGTGTGGAGTGGATGAGGGAGTCATGGAGAGAGTGGTCCCTACGAAAGGCAGATAGGGGTGGGGAGGGAAATATCTCTGGTTGTGCAGTCGGATTGTAGGTGGCGGAAGTGGCGGAGAATGATGGATGTGGAGTTTGGTGGGGTGATATGTGAGGACAAGGGGGATTCTGTCTTTATTTTTGTTGTGGGGGGAAGGGATGTGAGGGCAGAAGTGCAAGAAATGCAAGAGATGCGGTTGAGGGAATTTTCGATCACTGGAGGGGGTATGTTATGGTCCTTGAAATAGGAGGGCATCTGGGATGTGTGGGAGTGGAACGCTCCATTTTGGAAGCAGATGTGGCGGAGGCAGAGGAATTGGGAATAGGGGATTGCATTCTTGCAGGAAGGTGGGTGAGAGGAGGTGTAGTCTAGGTAGCTGTGGGAGTTGGTGGGTTTGAAATAGGCGTCAGTTTCAAAGCGGTCACCAGAGATGGAGACAGAAGTCCCGGAAGGAGAGAGAGGTATCAGCGATGGTCCAGGAGAACTTGAGGTTTGGGTGAAAGGTGTTAGTAAAGTTGATGAACTGTTCAAGCTCCTCGTGGGAGCACAAGGCAGTGTCATTACAGTCATTGATATACGGAGGAAGAGGTGGGAGATAGTGCCAGTGTAGCTGCGGAAGAGGGACTGTTCCATGTGTCTTACAAAGAGGCAGGCATAGCTTGGGCCCATGCGGGTGCCCGTGGCCACCCCCTTAGTCTGTAGGAAGTTGGAGGAGTTAAAGGAGAAGTTGTTCAGGGTAAGGATAAGTTGTGTTAAGCGGATGAGGCTTTCGGTGGAGGGGGGACAACTCTCTGACACCTCCTCTTATTGCCAGCTCAATAATGACCCCACCCTGACCACCAAACCATCGTCTCTCAGACCATTCATAACCTCAGGTGACCTCCCACTCACAGCCTCCAACCTCATCGTTCCCCAACCCCGCACCGCCGGCTTCTATCTCCTTCCCAAAATCCACAAACCTGACTGTCCCGGCCGACCCATTGTCTCCGCCTCCTCCTGCCCCACCAAACTTATCTCAGCTTATCTCGACTCTTTCTCCACTCCCCCCGCCCCCACCACC